AAAAAGACCGTGGTTCAAGTTCATTTAGCTGTCTACTCACTGTACATCAAGGAATAGGACCATTTGAACTCTCTGGCAGCTCAAACTTCTCGTCTCCATAGAGAGTTGCGAACACAGATGAGTTAGGTTTCATCAGTGGGTAGTGGCTGCTGAAAGTTTGGCTAAAGGGTTGTGAATCCAGGGGAGCAACACAGGGTGAAAGAATCCCCAAATCGAAGGCTTGCCATGGACTGAAAAGGAACATATATGACACATACTTGACATCCTTAGATTTTAAAATATTCTCCTGAGGGTACTATAGATACAAAACATTTAAAATTGACTTTTAAAGACAAGTTGTAGGCAAATTCTATCACTATTATAAGTCTCATTATTATTGATTGGCTATTAGAAGAGAAATGCAAGGAAGAACCTATCTACACCTTCAGTATGCAAACCAAATTCTCTTTTATGTCCTCAGTAGAGAGCATTTTCTTAGTGGGCCACTGAAGACAAAACCCCTTTGTTACACAGGCTAAGAGAAGGAGGCTGGGATGGACAGAGTAGAGTTCAGACAAAGTGGGAGGAAGCTCTGCCCTGGCAGGCTCAAGAGAGAGCGGCTGTGAGGAGCAAGAGGCAGTGCCTTGGAGTGCTCCTCGCATCATTACAGGCGGGCAGCCACTGACTTAGCCTAGGCGCCGGGCCAGCTCTGGCAGGAGATTGAATCAAGGCTATTTGCATGTCTGTTTTCAGACCATTAAGTTAAGTTTTGTCTACTCATCCAGAGCGAGGAGGAGATCAATGCAATCATGCAGAAAACTTAATTTCTAAAAAGAAAAAGAAGAATGGAAACGTCCTGCTTTCAATAAAGTACAAATTTTATTTTCTGTAAAGTGTGACAACTCCCATTTTATTCTATGTAAAGTTTCAACTCTTCACTAAAACACTGAAGTATCCTTAGAAAAGGTGCTTAGAAAAGATAGTGTTTTAGTGAAGAATTGAAACTTTCTCTTATGTGTTTTAAGAGTAATGACAAAACCAGAAAAACCTAACTCCCACACAGTATACACGGTGCTGGGTACTGTCATTTCTATGTTATGTCCTTGGATCCCCACAGTAGTCCTAGGACATGAATCTAAGGCTTAGAAATGTCATGGGCCAGGCAATTGGGTAATTGCCACAGTTTAAAGTATGTGGAAATACCCAGAAATTTTAAATAGTGCTGGCAACTTTGTGCGGACGATCTTCTATGAATAGTTCCCTGGTTATTTCTAATTCTCATTGACTGGAATAATGCAAGCCATTCAGCAATATGATACGAATAGATATTTCCTTTTCAAAACATTGCACAAATACATGATTTCCTCCCTCTTTCCACCCAGTAGGAGAAGTAGGAAAAGAGCACAGTAATAGGAATTTACCTCCAAGCTATAAAGCCTTCCTATCCTTTTAGTAATTACCAAAGAGAGTTCCTAGTTACTAAGGAGACCATAACACACTGCATTAGATTCAAATACAACATTTGGGTTGCCTGACTAGTGAACACCAAACAGCAAGGAAAATATTATTGTTGCTGAAATCATTTGATGTCCATGACTAATAAAAAAACATGTTAGCAAATTGAATTATTTGAAATGCCCAAAGGGCTTGGTTAAAGCCATGAATTAATAGCATACAGAGTTTTTTCTGGAGAAAATAAAAAGAAAAGATGAAGATGTTGAACTATTTTAAAATGTATCTGAGTAATCAAAAGTTCTCAATAGAAACCTTAGACAACCAATCTAGGTCTTTCAGCCAATTTTTAATTTAAATTTCGTTTTCCTCTCTTTTATAGCTAAATAATAAAGTTTGTACATTTTGAGTCACGTTATTCTTGAATTCTAAGGGACCCAAAGGCTTTCTTGGCCTTCTTATCCAACTTCTGACAAATACCAGAATTATCTTTAAAGTGTACCAGCTGTACCAACCCTGGAGGCTTTGAGAGCTGAGATGTCCATTCTCTTATGTTCTGTGCCCCTGGGGAGCTGGAGAAAGCCAGAATCGGAAAGAGTAGGGAGGTTGAACTTCCAATGACCTCTCAACCCAGGTCCACAGGTCACTAGGGGCCTGCCTGAAGATGTCCATCCGGTCCCTGCTTCATCTTTCCCAGAGCAGAAGGTCTTTGCCAGGATGCATCCTATCCTGTTCTGGATGCAGCTCTGGTGGTTGGAGGTGCTTTCTCATAGTGTGCCAGCATCTGCCTCCTCATGGTTTCTACCCATTGTTCTTCATGGGATCTTGAGAACAACACTGTTGGACTCAGCTTCCTCTCCTCTTGAATAGTCCTTTAGGTAACTAAAGTCAACTGCCGTGACTACTCCGTATATGTAATGTCTTCTCCAAACTACATAGTGTTAATTTCTTTCTCAGATAATAAGGTAAATATACAGGGACAGAACATACAGTCACCATAAAAGACAGAGAGCAAAGTGGTCTGGTAATTGAATATTTTTTTAAAAGGAGTTAAAATTTGTACCTAGAAGGCTGAAATTCTTAACTGATATTGAGAAACCTTGTGTCTGTCCACTGAGTTCCCGCATTCTAGCCATCAAGTTATTCCATCAAGATGAAAATGTAGCTTGTTAAGACTTTTTCTTAGTGACAGACACCATGCCAGCTCCTAGTGACTGTTCACTAATTCTCACCTCACTGCATTTATTTTTTCTTGTGTTTATTTACTGTCAATGCATACTTTGAGAAAAGTTTCTAGAAAACAATAAATATCTGCATATGAAGAGTTGTGACATGATTTGAGAATTTGAATACCGTTTACTAAGAATTAAGGGAGGGGCAATGTAAGGAAGCTAAATCTTGAGTTCTTTTCCCGCCAATATCTTATAATGAAAAATTGCAAACATACAAAAAAGTTGAAATAATCGTATAGTAAACACCGTATAACTCAACAACTAGATTCTACAGGGAACATTTTACTATATTTGGTTTATCATGTATCTATGGTTTCTCTTTATGCATTTCAGTGCAACTTGCTCTCACCAGCACACCTAGTCCTTAATATCTCAGCATGCATGTCATTGTTAGCTCTTTCTGGACACTTTCTAGCACTCCCTTCACAATCTGTCTTGCCGTATTTTCCCTCATTCTCTCCACTTTCCCAGTTTTCATTTCTGCATCCTTCCTCCTACTCTATATCTCCAAAGTTCTAAATGGCAAAAAGAAAGTGCAGGAATTTGAGCACGAAACAGTTTGGAGTAGAAAAGGTCAATGGTGACCATCCAGGGCCTCACAAGGTGCTGTCACCGCAGGCCCGGGATAGATGAGGTCCTCATGAACAAGCTGACTCAAACCAACTCACAAGAGACGGAAGTATATGTTAATATGCCAGCTTCATAATTAAGAAACACAGCTGTCCAGCCATCAAATACCCAGGCAAATTTCTTGGTCAGCTCAGGTTCTCCTGAACTAATCTACATGACAAGCCAAATTATGAAGGCTTTTAGTAAATAGAGGCTCAGAGAAGGGGAATTAGAAGGTCTTCATGGCTTGGAGGCAGAGACCTTATCAGCCTCCGTGTTTCAACAGCTGGCCAGCACCATGCCTGACACCCAGAGTGGATGCCTCCTAACAATTAGTATTACCTCTTTACAAGTACTGCCATGAAACCAGACACCTGGGTTGTGGCTTAGGGCACCTGTCACCTGGATTGTGCTGGCCAAACCCTGACAAATTCTACCCTCCAACTCCCTGTAAAGAAGTTCCGTGACTACCAGTCCCCTTTGAGTAACATATTTCTTTTAGCAGTGTTTATGCCATTAACTAAGCTTTAGTGAAGTCCTGATCTTCTTGTTTTGGGTCTAGATGATAACCTGATCTGGATGATCTCTCAAAAGTTTAGCTCTCATAAATCCTCTGGGCGATGTATACTGTTGTCCTGGCAGCAAAACAAAAAGTGAAATGAAGGGTTTTGAAATGAGAGGCCTGTTTCTATTTAAGCCCAATTTTGATGACTTGATTTTACTGGTGTTACTCTCAAAGAGAAGTGTGGTTTTCTGTTGTCTGAGTATACTGCCTTCAGAGGCCTTCCCTAGTGGCAAAAACCATCCCTTTCCTGTCTCAAGATTTATGTCTGATAAGAAATGTTAGTAGATTATTTTCTGGGCTTCCTAATTACCAGCCCACAAAGACTTGGCAAGATGAGCTTTTCAATGGAAAGTTAGCTACACAAAAGCAACCCGGAAGTGCAAATGCAGCACTTTTCACAACAGACAGCTTCTCTGAAGTTGCAGATAAACCCAATTTTAACGAATTAAATCTACTTTGAAACCCTAAAAGGAACTCTTGAGTCATGAAGTCCCGAGGTGAATCCTTTGGTTATGTAACAAGTTCCTAATGCAGTTCTCCCAAAGATTTAGATCTCATAAATCAAATTATTTTATAGCAAAGCATTCCTGTTCATTACTGCTTAAAAGCCATTCCTATGCTTGAACTTTTCTTGACATTTTCCCCATGTGGATCCCATGTTAAATATTGGAAAACATCAGCATTTGGTGGTCGCATCACACACTTTAGAGTTTGTTTGAAAGCAAACCATTATAGTATTGGGGGGAATGGCTTAGAATCAAGGCTCTGACTATTTCACATGAGTCTACTTACAGACTGGGAAAAAACCCTGATACTAGTAGGCATTAGCACCTCAGTGGTAAATGCCAACTGGCAACTAGAATTCTTCTCTAACTGCCTCTTTTATAAGCAACAGGGTTCTGACCCAGATAAAAACTCTGCAAGAGGGTGAAAGGTACTATGATGTAGACAGCGGGCTTTCTTTATTGGAGCTTCAAATGTTCTGACAGGAGCACGTACACCGCTACACGAACCTCAAACAAAACTCAGTCTAGATAAACAGGGAGTGTTTCATCTACGCAGACTTCAAAGGCAGTGTTGGCTCCGACATCATTAATTCCTTTTATTCCTTTGATGTGTCTGTCCCTCATGATGGAAACTGTTATTATTTTTATGTTTTAAAGAAACTAAAGCACAAAAAGAAAGTGAAAAAGCTACAAACTGATTTGGCAACAGCTAAGCAAGAGGCTGCCATCACAGTCCTGGAACTCGATGAGAAGATAAAGACTCTATGTGAAGGAAAGCCAGCCCCTAGAGGTCAGTATTACCACGTGACAGATCTACATTGGCCCGTCCACTGCGTGATGTATGTAATTACATTGTCAATGAAACAAAAATGGAAGCCATAGGCCCGGCCTGACCTCTGTGTGGCACCAATAGAGACAGCACGTGAACTACTAACTCCAGGCTGGATTCACATTCACCTGGAGAGGAGCAGGTTTGCTCGTAAAGGGAAAGTCTTTGAGGCTGAAGAGCTGGACTGAAATAGATCTGAGAAGTGTCACCGGACAAGCTGGTGGTAGTAAGGGGAGGGCAGGGCCTAAGAAGGAAGGCGGGCACCTGCAGGGACTGGGCTCTGGAGCAAGACGGAGCTGTCTGAAAGCACAGACTGACAGAGTAGGGCATGGGGAAGAAAAGAGAATCTTAAAAAAAAAAAAAAAAAAAAAAAAAAAAAGGCAAATGAACCAGAAACAAGCAGGGCAGTCTGGCACGAGATGAAATCTGGGTAGTTCAGAAAATTGTTAACAGCCACATTGGTTTTGATTTTTTAAAAAAAGGCTTCTCCAACTAAGAAACTATAAACACCATTAGGCAACAAACAAGCAATAAACAAAAAAATCCCAAGTCTCAGACTGTTAGTTTAGCAAGAATATTAGTTAACATGTAATACAGTACTATGGACCATGCATTTTGCTAAGCATTCCATGTCTATTTAACTCTCAGAATAACTTCTGAGGTAAGTACATTGACAAGTTCCCTAATACTAAGCAGAGGCTTAGAGATGCTCGTTACCTTGCCACAGGTTAGACCTGCGCAAACAACACTTGGCTAGTCGGCCTCTAGAGCAGCAGCTGACTGTACCCCAGTGTGCCTTTTCCAGCTTTGGGAGACTCAGGACATTTCCTCTGCTGTGTCCCAGTAATATCAAACTTCATTCCTGCCTGGTGAATCTCTTGCAAGGCTGTGGTTCCCTGGGAAAAATGTCTTTCTTTGATGTCTGCCACTCTTGCAAAGCCAGGAACATGTTATTGTTCTTACTCTGGCTTCCTTTATTACTCATAAGTAATTCTGGAAAAAGAGGAGCAATGTGGAATCAAATGGAGGAGGGAGAAGCAAGTGATGTGGTAGTTTCAGAAAACGGGACACTCCCAGCACCCTGACTACATGGTAAAGCTTTTCATATGAATTTGCTTTTCATTTTCAATTTTGAATAGTGCTTTCCCAGGATTCAAATGGCATGTAACACTGTGAATTTGAAACACAGTGTTTTTTCTTTCAATAAAACAACATGAAGGCAGTTTGTAAATTTGCTTTACCAACATTGAAACCTAAAAGAATAAAATCCATTAGAGAATGTCGTGTATTTAAAAGTCCTTATTCTGAGGCATCACCCAGATTTTCCACTGGTTTCATTAGAAGAAACTGACAGTGATTGTAGAGCACGTTGGAGAGAGTTCCCCAGCTCACTTAAGAGAAACTTTCAACTTCGCAACTGCATTTTAAACCCAGTGCAAAAAAAGTATAATTGCAAGATATCTCATTCTTGTTAGTTTCATTTTTTCAATGTTATTTACTGTCTAATGACAATTTGTCTCTTGGATATTTTGATAAGGCAAAATTTAAATAATACGGAGGGCCTAGGATCCAAACGACTTGGGTGAGAGAAGAGAACATTAAATCCTGCCCTTTTTTGTCCATTTATTCTCTTTATATTTTTTTAACTACCTGTGTAGAAAAACACAGATATTTATGAACATATATAAATTTAAAATGTAAATAATGCCAGTCACTGTAAGATCCATTATGGATCAAAACAGTGATTCTCTTTAGGCTTGCATGTTGCTTCTCTTATTTAATGGAGAAACTGAGTCAGTCGACTGACATGTAGCACTAAGATCCTAAATCAAATACTTGTACATTCTTGCTTTTTCATAGGCCCCTTGCAGCCTCACCCAAATTCAATAGTCTGGAAAATTGTCAGGGCCGCTGTGGCCCCAGCATAATATTAACTGGCATTCTCAGAAAGCTTGGTCACCTTGGCCTCTCAATTCACTTCAGAATAAAGTCTGAAAAGATGTCCAGTAACTTTAACACGCAATGACCCCTATGTAACCACAGAACAATTAGGGCTGCCCCACCCACACACACATGGTTCTGGACCTAGAACACCACCACTCCCCTGATTATCTTGTAAAACGTTTGCTTTGGGTTCTCAGACCTCTGTTTGCAAATGACAGATGCTCCGGTGGTAACAGCTTAAGGAGAAAGGGTGATTTATCGGCACATGTAAACAAACCAAGAGAGAGCATTGCACTAGGCTTAGAGTCAGATGGATTCCAGTCTAAAGTGCCATCAGGAAACTGTGTCACTCATCTCTGCTTCTCTCTGCATTGGGACTTCATTCTCTCAGGCTAGATGTCCGAAGAGAATGAAAACGTGGCCACAGGCAGCTATGGGCTGCCCTCCTTATCATATAATCTCCAGGGAAGAAACAAGGCATTTTTCCACCAGCTCTACTTGGAAAAAGTGCAAGAAAGAACTCAGTCCTGGCTTAGGTTGGGTACCCATCTGTGGATATGAACCAGTCTTTGTGGCCAGGGCTGAGGAAATAAGGTTGGACAAACTGTGGTCATGTCGCCACCACTGGGTGGCAGGGCAGAGAGAAGTAAAGGTGTGGAAGGAGAATGCTCCAGCTGGCAGCTCCCACCAAAAGCACAGAGCTGGATTAGGAGAAATCCACTTTCTTAAAGGGATATCTCGTTACTGGAGAGGAGTGATAGGCAAAACCAGTATCTCCTAGCCAGGTGTGGTGATGCATGCCTGTAATCCCAGCTACTTGGGAGGCAGAGGCATGAGAATTGCTTGAACCTGGGAGGCAGAGAGGTTGCAGTGAGCTGAGATCATGCCGCTGCGCTCCAGCCTTGGTGAAAGAGCAAGACTCTATCTTAAAAAATAAAATAAAATAAAATAAATTTCAAAAAAAACACAACATCTCCAACATACCCTCAGCTAGTGGTCAAGTTAAAACAGCGTAGGCCAGGTGCAGTGATCCCCACCTGTAATCCCAGCACTCTTGGAGGCCAAGGTGGGCGGATCATCTGAAGTCAGGAGTTCCAGACCAGCCTGGCTAACATGGAGAAACCCCATCTCTACTAAAAATACAAAAACTAGCTGAAAATGGTGGTGAGCTCCTGTAATCCCAGCTACTCTGGAGGCTGAGGCAGGAGAATCGCTGAAACCTGGGAGGCAGAGGTTACAGTGAGCTGAGATCTCACCACTGCACACTGGCCTGGTGGACGAAGTGAGATTCCATCTCAAAAATTTAAAAAATAAAATAAAATACACACACAGACACACACACACACATACACACACACACACACACACACACACACACATAGTATAATATTTAATGAGCCACGCATCCCATGAGTAGTTATACTTAAAAGTGTATTCTTCTCAATGAACAAAAGACCTTCGTGATCTAAGAAATAAATCTCCAGTGGTATAATTTCAGATCCCATAATAAATAGAGAATGAACCACTTTGGAAAAGGAGTTCCCTCCTAGCCGTTAGTAAGTGATATATGGTCACCTACTCAGAAGGCTTGCTTTGTTGTAACAATTATTACAGAAGGGAAAAAAGTGTTGATTCTAAGTGACATTTGTTCTAAGTGACAGATTAATATTAAGCTATTTCTCTGTTATAGTTACAAACTGATGCTTACAGTTCTAATAAGCAGATTAATGAAATGTTTCCAAATAAATTAGAACTCCTTTTTACCTCTGTATGATTTTTCCTTGTTTGGTTCATTTTCTAAGCAGTCTATAGGTCATTCAGGTCTGCCATTCAGGTCTTCTGATAAGCAGGATCAGAGGGATGCTCCAGAATATTAGGAATATTTTTAGACATATTCATATTTGAATTAATGAAACAGTGTACTACTAAACTTCTTCCTTTTTAAAAATATAAACACGGTAAACTATTTCATTAGCAGTGTGCTTAAATTACCTCCAAGGAAATAAACGATTTAAGTCAATGGAAAGTTCAGCTGAAAAGAAAAGCACCTTTATTACAAAACTGGCATGGCAGGAAACTGACTTACAGCCTGAGTGTTGTTTATTGATTTTACTTTGTTCTAATAATCACAACCCAAGGCGGATTCCTTCCGTCATTTCCACACCTGAAATGTTCACAGCTCTGTTTATCAGAACTCAGCAAAACACCTATCGTACACCTTCAAAGCTTGAGTCCACCTTTTGGCAAACTTCAGTATGCAGGAACCTCAGGTTAAATTTTAGAACAATCCTGTGGCCAACTGTGGTGGCTCACGCCTGTAATCCCAGCACTTTGGGAGGCTGAGGTGGGATTACCATCTGATGTCAGGAGTTTGAGACTGGCCAACATGGTGAAACCCCATCTCTACTAAAAATTCAAAGATTAGCCAGGTGTGGTGGTGGTGGCCTATAATCCCAGCTACCCAGGAGGCTGAGGCAGGAGAATTGCTTGAAGCTGGGAGGTGGAGGTTGCAGTGAGCCAAGCCCTAGCCATTGCACTCCAGCCTGGACGACAGAGCAAAATTCCATCACACACACACACACGCACGCACGCATGCACATGCACGCACGCACACACAGAAAACAATCCTTGTTTCCTTTGGCTTAGGACAGTTTCTTTGCAAAAGACCTTATTGACTGTGTCCTGTTGTTGGTGCATTAGTAGTTACTCAGTCTGATGAAAGTGCCTGCCTTTGACCAGAATATCAGGAACTTGGTTTACAGATTTCAAGCTAGTATACTTAAGGGAATGTGTCTTTCTGATTTTTTTCCTTTTAGTCTCTTTTTTCTCTCTCTCTTAATACACACGGCTGCCAAATAAGGTGTCTAGCATACACATGCATGTCCCCATTATCCCAATGAAAGTTCTGGCAGCTCTAAAGTCATCTCTTTGTTTTATTCCCATTAAGGAGAAGAACTTACAAAAAGAACTTACCCGGTAGTGCTAGTACATCCCAGGGTAGGCTTATCCAATACTCA